AGCAAAATAAACTCCTTTTCCAAACATGTAACCACTGGAAGGAACGTGAGGAGGTGCAATCCTCAATCCTTGACTTAAAATTCCGGCAAAATTTGTTCTTCTAGAACCATGCCAAAGTAACATTCTATTATGTAAATTGGAATATTTTGAAAATCGTTCATTTTCTCCTTGCCTTTCAATTGAAAAAACATCAAGAACTTCAACTTTACAATAATGTGTACTGCCTTGAGTATTTTTGACATATTTAAGTATTAATTTAAATTCTTCGGAATCATGATCCAAAGGTTCCATCTTTTCTAAATTAAGTGAATTATAATGTGAATCCAATAAATTGATTTTTGAATCCGCCGATTTAATCAATGATGCTGCGATCTCAATTTCACCCAAAGCTTCTACCATATCTAATTTCTCTTTTAACAAGTCAAGGGTTGAAATGATAGGAGGTGTTCTCATTCCAAAACTATGTGGAATGACAGTATAAAATTCATTGGAAAGTTGTTCTAGATTTCCTTGATCGATATTAACTAGAACAGCCTCAATACGTTTAAGAACTTGAAATCCTTGAGTTATAGTGTTTTTTGAAAGTTTTCCCAATGGTAATTTAGATGCATCATAATTCAATTCGACCATTATATTTTTAAATGCATTAATATCAAAAATCATTTGAATAGCATCTTGAACCTTGGGATGAAGTTGAGATTCAGGTACATCAGATTCATTTTCATTTTCATTTTCATCTTCATCCATATCTTCACCATAATCACGTTCTAATAAAGTATATTTATTTTTATGGGGTACGAATTTTGATTTATCGTTACATACATCAATCCACATATTACCCGTTTTATCACGAAATTTCCTTTGAAATTCATGTTGAGCCAAAGGTAAGGAAGAAAAAGGACCTGAAGTAGATGTTTGACCAGTGTATCCAACTCTACCCCATTTATTAAATACATAATAAGAACTATTTGAATCAGATTCCAAAAGTTGAATAATATAGAATTTATTATTATTACCTTTAACATTAGTTTGATTGAGAAGGCAATCCCAAACAATCTGATCATCCGCGTATACATGAGTTGTTTTATTCATTGAAAACATTTCATCAACTGGAGCTTTTCCCTTTTTAATAATTGTAACCATTTTCTTTTCTTCAACTTTCATAACATCAACTTTCACATTATTATCATCAATATTATTTGATTGATCAATAGTAGAAGATGATGATACATTAGCTTTGATTTTACGTTTTTTTTTTTTGAAACCACAGTCTTGGAACTTGATGCTACAGTCATAACAGTTGAAGAATTATCAACGATCTTATCATCTTGATCAGAGGATGTATCAGGTTTAAGTTTTCGTTTTCTTGAAATTGGAAGAGTTTTGTTGTCATTTTTGTCTTCAATCTGTTCGTCTTTATCTTTGTCACCTTTTTCATTATTCGATTCACTTTGTTCGTCGTCTTCTCCACTTACAATTACATATTCAGTTTCCGGAAGCCTT